TAGAGGACCCTGAGAAAATGAGGATAATAGTCAAATCCTGGGAGAGCTAGCTGTGTTCTTTTTTGTTTAGTCTCTGTGACAGGTACGTATAGAGCTCATCTGAAGTCTTGGCTAGAGTAGTCTGTGAGGCTGGACCCTCTCAGCCAGCAGCTTTGGAGTTTTTCTGGATGTAGGATTTTGAGGAAACTGCAACAGAGGCACTCCGAGAGACTGGATCACCTGGGCTACTTGTTTTCATTGGTGTCTGGTCTTTTTTTTTTTTTTCCTGAAAACTCGGAAACTTTTAAAGTTAACATACAGATTTGTATTAACACAAGTATGGAATGTGTGGTCGATGTGCACAAGTCAGCTAAAGATGATTTTCTGTTTCCCATTTGAGCAGGTAAAAGGCATCTGTCAACTTTATAAGTCCATTTGAACTGCATATATAAATCTCCATTCCTACCATAGGAAAGGATGGCATGTGATAATAAGTCATGAGGACTCTGTAGCCAACAAGATTTATCACGTCTCATCCAGTTTCAGAGCTGTTCCCATCTAGAGGGAGCAGCATATATGTCACCTGTCTTGTAGTTTTTCTTTTTTTCTTCATGTGTGTAGCCAAGATTTTCAGGAGGTCTCCCCCAGTCAAATATGATCTTTATTAATTTTGAAGGAATCCATAGCTTTTTGTTTCCTGTGGAAACAAAGGCATAAATAACTTCTCCCCCTGCGTAACATATTTTCTGACTTCCATTTTACAGTTAAGACATCCCCCAAATATACAGGCTAGATCAGTTCAGCAGCTCTTTTCACAACCCAGTGTCTCTCAGCAGCTACCACATTTTGCTCATTAACATTTAAAATATTTAAAGTTAACAAAGCTCTAATATGGTCCATGTGCCCTGTGTATTTTCTATCCTTATTTCTTTTATAGTACTCTACTCTCTCTTTAAAGACATTATTATTTTTAAACTGCTTATTATTTTTCTATGACTATCTATACCCATTTTGTTTTCTTTCTTCAGCATCTAAGCACATTTTTAACCATACTATATCTATTCAGAGGTTTCCTCAGTTAGGGTCTGACTTTCTGTGCATCTGCAGTATTTTTCTGTGTTCATGAGCCAAACCTTAAATGGCTGGACTATGTTGTAGGGCTCTGCCTAGTATGTGCCTCTGGCGACTGGCTCTTCCCCGATCCGGTCTGCAGGCAAAGGCAGGAGCTCCTAACTGTCCCAGCCACAGCTAACCATTGCAGTTCTGGGAAGCTGTTTTGTCAGCGATGTGGGGCAGGCGTTTTTTACCTAGGGCAGCACACAGGCTGCTCAAGTGCTCTGCTGCACAGCAGGGCCTTTTAAAGGAGCCAGGCTTCTGTACTCCCATGAGCAGTGGGCTCTGGTATGTCTGGGATTTTTTTTTTTTTTTTAGCTGTTTCAAGCCCTATGTAGATTTATGTGCACCAAATGTAGCAAGCTTTCTTATTGGACTGTCCTTGAACCGTATTTGCCAGCCTTAATATTGATTATAAAAACTTGGGCTTTCTTGATTAGCTCTTATAACTTAATTAACCCATATATATGAATATATATATATATGTTGAATATATATATATATATATATATATATATATATATAATATATATATATATATATATATATTCACTCTGTATTCTACCACTTTGTCTTAGGGTTTCTATTGCTGTGATGAAACCACCATTACCAAAAAGCAAGTTGGGGAGGAAAGGTTTAATTTGGCTTACACTTCAGCATTGCTGTTCATCTCTGAAAGGAAGTCAGGACAGGAACTCAAACAGGGCAGGATCACAGGATCTGGGAAAGGAGCTGATACAGAGGCCATGGAGGGAAGCTGCTTACTGGCTTGCTTCCCATGGCTTGCTCAGCTCATCTTGTAGAACCCAGGATCACCTGCCCAGGGATGGCCCCACCCACCGTGGGCTTGGCCTTCCCCCATTGATCACTAAATGAGAAAATGCCTTATGGCTGGATCTCATGGAGGCATTTCCTCAACTGCGGCTCCTTCCTCTGATGACTCTAGCTTGCGTCAAGTTGGCACATAAAACCAGCCAGTGCAACCAAGTGACTTGGAATCCTCTTTGTATTACTGCATATCCGACTTGTTCTGAGTCTGCTGGTGAAATCGTGCTCCTAGATGCCTCCTCTCAGTTTCTCTCTGCCAGTTATACCTCCTGCCTAGCTACTGGCTGTTCAGCAATACATCTTCACACAGTGTTACAAATATCCCACAACAGTTTATGAAAAAAAAGGCTATGAATTTGAAAGAGAATAAAGAGGGGTATATAGGAGGGCTTGTAGGAAGAAAAGGGGAATGATGAAATTATATTATAATCTCAAAAAAGTAAAGAAAGCCGGGCGGTGGTGGCGCACGCCTTTAATCCCAGCACTCGGGAGGCAGAGCCAGGCGGATCTCTGTGAGTTCGAGGCCAGCCTGGGCTACCAAGTGAGTTCCAGGAAAGGCGCAAAGCTACACGGAGAAACCCTGTCTTGAAAAACCAAAGGAAAAAAAAAAAAAAAAAGTAAAGAAAAAGAGAATAAGAAAAGAAGGCATTGAGATGTCAGAAAACTTTATAATTCATTAGTCTTCTGTTTTCTTAGTTAAATATTGAATATTTTTAGGATAATTTTTAACAAAAGTTGTACGTTTCACTTAATTCAAAATATTTGTTCTATGCCATTTTGTCAGAACAATACTGAACACAAGAATAAACTGCAACAATTTTCCTACCAATTTTGTCATCACTATCTTTTAAACTCTAACACCAAATATTGCCATGGGTTAGTCATTCACTTAATTAAGGCTATTGGATAATAAAAGCACCCATCTTTAAGCAGTGATAGTCCTGGTAATTCTTTAACAAACAATTTTTGGAGCAGGGAATATGGAGTAGAGTTGTAGCACCTGCCTATGTCTGTAGTGTAAATATTTCTCCTGTGTCTGATGACTAGGAGTGGAGCTGGGAAGATACACACCCAGTGGTATGAGTTGTTCTAACATACTACTGTAAACAAGACACATAAGATTTTATTTTCTAAAACCAGTATGTTCAAAAGGGTTTTCATAGGAAACCCTCAAATACTGAATTCCAGTATATGCTATGAACATGATTAGTCTTACTAAATGTTTAGTATCTAACTTTGTCTGTCCTATATATGTGTATATGTATACATATACATGTTTATATGTATGTATATATATGTACTGTATGTGTGCCACACAGATTTTCTTTATTAAGAATTTTTTTTCCATTCATTTTACACACCAATCAAAGATCCCCCTCTTCCCTCCTCCCACTCCACCCCAACCTCTGCCTCCCACTCTCTTCCACAAGAAGGCAAGTCTTCCCATGTGGAGGCACATCCAGTAGAGGCAAGTTTAAGCCCCTCCCCCTGCTTCAAGGCTGTGAGAGGTGTCCCATCATAGGTAGTGGGCTCCAAAAAGCCCACTCATGCAACAGGGATGGATTCTGATCCTACTGCCAGGGGGCCTCCCAAGCAGATCAGGCTACACAACTGTCTCGCCATGCAGAGGGCCTAGCCCAGTCCCATGCAGGCTCCACAGCCATTATGTGTGCCACACAGATATTTGTTTTTAATTACCTGATACTTAATTTTTAGAGACTTTTATGTTTTGAGAGTATAAACAGTTTCTAAATTGAACAAACATGTATTTATGACTAGACAAACATTTCACTGGGAAGTAGAGTGCATATTCTTTACTTAGAATGAACATTTTTTTTCCCCTGCATCTTAATTCTTTCCCATCTCTGAACCAGGGGCACAATATACGGGGGAGAGAATAAACAAGAATCCCTGTGCTGTGGAGAGAAGTCTTGGGGTCAGGCTAATGGCACATGACAAAGATGCCCACTGAGTGGGGGACCTGAGCTGTACCTGCCTTCTGTCTTATTTGAGGGACTGATGGTTGTGTTCGGAAGGACAGTGGACGTCTCTGGGAGAACAGGGGAACAGAAGGCAGGCGTGCAGTGCCAGGCATGCAGCGGTCACAGGAGCTGGAGGGGCCCTGGGGGGGGGGGGTCGTGTGTTAAAGTGCCTCCTGTGGCCAGAACAGACATTTCTGTCAAAGCTGCCAGTGAAAGAAGCACCCCACGGAGATGTCCCCCATTTCATAAATCCCCATTGTTTTTTTACTTTGTTTTATTTAATCTTAGACCATGTCTGTATAAGCTCTGTCCAAACTATTAGCTACTTGAAGAAAAGAGGAGGTTCTGGCTCGTGCTTGATATCACCGACTACGTATTTGAAGATTTTTCAAACATCCTCCAGAGTTAATTTAGTCAGTTAGTTAAAATGACCTGAAACTGTAAGTTGGAAACAAATCCTTTATCAGAACAGGGCTTTTAAAATACACCAGAAGGTACTTTGTAGTATTTTCCTAACTATAACTCTCATGTAATCATTTTCAGTGTGTTTCCTATTTTTTGATCACCCGTTTTCATTTGTGCATAACAGGTTCATGCTATGTGGTTGGTTGTGATTGTTTTTTATAGAGATAGGGGTGAACTTGGAGCTTTGTGCAGACAGATTTACTGTGAATTAACTGAAAATTAATGTTAACACAGATCCCCTCCAAAGCTGTGGAATACTCCCAAGCGTTGGACCCTTGCTTTAGGGTCCAACGAGCTGTAGACATTGCAAAACAGGGCTTTTGCTCTGGACCTATCGCAAAAGAAGCAGTTGATTTGGATAGTGCACTGTTCAGAATGTGTACACTGTGCTTAGAGTTAACTTGCTAGATACCCTTTCAGACTCATTTAAAGTTCTGGCAGTCTAGTAAAAACAACAACAACAAACAAACAAAAAACAGAGCTCAGAAATAATTGGTAACTAACTGAAAATTTTAAGAATGAAAAGTTCAGAAATTACTGTTAGCCACGAGGCCACTGTTGTTTTGCTCCCATTCAACCAAGTCGGCAGCAGAAATCTGCAAATTGTAACTAGATTTTCTATGTCTCCTGCAGAGGATGTTTCCCAGCCCTGCCCCTGTGAGAAGTGTTCTTTGGTCCTGGATTGCAAAGGCTTGACCTTTTTCGACTACACAGGAGTCTCTACGCTTGTTGAGGTATCTACACAGCCTGGGTCAGGCCTGATTCCTTCCCTTCTCTTCAGTAGTAGGTGTACTCCACCTCAGCCACAGAGCTGAAGCCCCTTTCCCACAAAGGACATAGAACAATGGGCTTTATACTGTAGTAGGTTTGCTTCAGAAGACCTGTCTGGATTCTAGACATCTTAGGGTAGGGGGTCAAAGTTGGAGGAGTGAGAAGGCTGAGATTTGAGTGGTATCGGGCATGCTATCTGCCAAGAAGTGAATTTTCAGTCTTCTAGGATGGAGAAAAGCCCCCTCAGGTACTGCATCACCAGGCCAGTGCTCCTGGAACTCTGTCTGCCTGCTCCACTCACTGAAACTGCTGCGTTTACTCCCAGTCACACTGTGGCTGGGAACTGCTTTGTGAGGGAAGCTGGGCTCACACAGAGGTCCCCTCTTCTTTCTTTCTCTCCACCCATCGTTGCTTTATGTTGTTGTTGTTATTTTGTTTTGTTGTTGTGTTAGCTCTGGGGCTCTAGTTCAGTGATAGAGTGCTGACTAGCAATCAAAGCCTTGGGTTCAATCCCCCAAATAAATACATAAATAGATGAACAGCAATATTGATCTGTCAAGTTCAGGTTAATCACAGGTTGATACAGCTTCACACTGTGAATTTTGACTCAAATCCTAGATATATTTTTTTATCTCTTCATTTGTATTTTAAATTTACTATGAAATTTCCCGCCTTTCACATTCCAGACAATGTAAGGTCAAACTGAGTACCTCTTGTCCAGGAGGACGAGATCACATGTGGTTGGAGGGAAACTGGGTGTCCAGCTGGATCTGTCACTCGCCAGCTATGTGGAGGGGAATCATCCCACTGAAATCTCAGTTAATTCCTTTGTGGAAACGAGGAGATGGCTTGGTTTTAAGAACTGAAGGTATTTAGAAAGCAAAGAAATGGAGCAAACCTAGTCTCTCTGGACGTCCTTTGGTGGCTGGTATTTTTCTTTTCTCTGTGTTGTCTGAGTCCAGGAGAATGCGTTTAAACTCCTAGGAGCTCACTTAAAATTCAGTTTCTGAGGCCTGGCTCTGGTCCCAGGTCTTCTTTTTTTTTTTTTTTTTTTTTTTTTTTTTTTTTTTTTTTTTTTTTTTTTGGTTTTTTGAGACAGGGTTTCTCTGTGTAGCTTTGCGCCTGTCCTGGATCTCGCGCTGTAGACCAGGCTGGCCTTGAACTCACAGAGATCCGCCTGGCTCTGCCTCCCGAGTGCTGGGATTAAAGGCGTGCGCCACCACCGCCAGGTCTTCTTTTATACTCTCCTAGGAGACTGCTGCAGGTGGTCCAGAGCCGTGCTGGAGGAAGAGGCCGTTTGCCCTCTTTACCAGTTAGGCCTGTGTGGGGGCTTGCTGTTGGTATTGAACTGCACTTCAGTTTGTGGCTGGAATTATTAGTTGCTTCTTTAAATGTTTGAAAACCCCTTAGAATTAGAGAAGAAGATGACAAGGGACCCACCTTCCTTGAGCTTAGGGTTGAAGGCTAACAGTTAAGATGAGTCAAGCAGTCCAGGCACTGGGCATGCTAATGAATGAAGGGTTTTGTTTATCCTGAATCATGGTAATGGATTAAAAGTTCTTTATGCTGGATTAAGACAATTGATACAATTTATTTTTAAATTCTCAGGAAAATTATACTTGTACTTGACAAAATATTTTCATTGTACACACAAAGCTAGCAGTTTTATGCTTGTTTTCATTTTTTTCTCCGTATTATTTACTATTTGCTTTATTGCATTATGGCTACATTATAATGTGTGTTAAGGACATAGGCTATAAGGACAGAAACATTTTGGATTCATATATCAAATACTACTGTTCTTGGAGATAATGTCTATTTTCATTCTACCTCCCCTGCACTCCGTGTGTGTGGTCACATGTGTGAGTGTGGACACATGAATGACATATGTGCGTGTGCAACAAAGGCTTTACCTGCTGAGCCATCTCCCCGGCCCCCGTTTCTTTGCTTTTCTATACCCTAGAAGTAGAGATCCCCTCTCTATCACATTGTGAGCTCAGAGATGACCTATGACACAGGAAACACTCAGTAAAGTATTGACATGGCCAGCATAGATAGGAAGCACTCAGAAATGCCAGCGTTTAGTATTCCCTTTCTCACTTTAGAAAGTCATTTCCTGAGCTAGTGAGATGCCTCGGTGGGTAAAGGGGCTTGCCAGGCAAGCCTGACAGAATCTGCATAAACATGAGAAGAATGAACTGACTCCACAATATTTTTTTTAATCTTCATTGTGTGCTGTCATGTGCTCATGGGTGGCACAAACACATACACAGTAGTAGCTTATATATATAAGTTTTAAAACCATTTCTTAAAGTGTAAATAATATATTTGAATGCAAGACTATTTCTTAGTTCCAGCTACTTCGGGGGGGGGGGGGGGGGGAGTCTAGAGCGAGAGCAGCATGGGCGCCTCCAGCCACGCCAGCTTCCCTGTGTTTTCGCAACCCTCTAGATTGTTTACTTATTTCAGCATGAAGAGCATTGATCCTGGAGTTGTGGACTGAAGGGAACTGGGTGACTTCTGTTTATTCTTTCACGGGGGACAGGGGGGTGGGGGTGGGGGTGGAATTTCAGGTTGGTGAATTGGAGATTGTATTTATCAACATCAACAAGTCACCCATAATAGCAATGTGTTTGTGCTCCACTGGGCTTTAGAGAAAGTCAAACATGAGAAGTCACCTTGAATTAGTCACATTAATTTAGAGAAGCAGGAGCCACTCATTCAATGTCAAAGTCAGAGCCCATGTTTTATTTTTGGTGTTTTTTTTTTCATTTACACTCAAGTTGGTACAACTCTGATTAATCTACAATTCTCATTTTGAAAGAATGACTTACTGAGGGAGAAGGATGAGAGAAACTGTGTATCTATAATGTCCATGGTTACAATGCATTCTTAGATCAGATTGTAAGTGCAACTGTCTGAGTCTTGTATATAAGAAGTGTGACTATCACATAATCAGTTCCACCAACTGTAAATGAACCTTTACACACATTTTAGGCACATTTCATGGTCTTATTTTGCTTTTGATGAATTTAATATCAATCGTTCGTAAATTGTCTCTGGTTGAGTTGTCTAGGAGGTAAGAGTCAAGGCCCTAGTGCACCCAAGCATTAGTTAGAATTTCTCACCGTGATGGATTTTTAAAACTGGAAAAATTGGTTCAGGTTATAATGAGGTTTAATAGATGGGATTTATTGAGTTAATGAAATATTCCTAAATTGTGTGAAGTATGAAAGTTAGCAGGCCAGCAGCCTTCATCATTTCCACAGGTTGGTCCTTGACTTTCCATAAAAGATGTTGACAGCAATCTTATATCATTCTTACAGGGAAGAAAAAACTTTTCATTTTTCTAGAGAAATGGTAATATGAGCAGCTAAATTTGGTCTCTGTAGAATAAATGTTTCACTGTGTGTATCTTTTAGAGCTCACTGGGCATATCCTTAACTATGTAACAATGCCTCCCTCTGGTGGCTTGACTTCAGAAACTTTGTTTTTATCATTTGTCTTCCCTAGGAATTATTGTCTTCCCCCACCCCACAAAACCCAGTTTCTTCTTCCAGTCTTCTATTCTGAACTAACCATGAGTGTGCTCTTTCACTTCTTCCAGCTTTACCTGGACTGCAAGAGCAGGGGTGTCGATGTGTTCTTAGCCAATTGCACAGGTAAGAGTGTGGCATCGGCGAACATCAAGCAAGGACTCTGCTGCCCCATGTGTCTTTACATATCCTGTGCTTTCTTGCAGCATCCTTGATAAAAGCAATGACATACTATGGGAACCTAGACACTGAGAAACCAATTTTTTTTGACTCAGTATCTGCTGCAATAAGTACCATCCAGTCAAATAAGGTTAGTTGATTAACTTAGCAAGCAGGCATTGTAAGAAAAACTAGCCTACAGAATCAAGGGCTTTGGAAGTATTATAGCAGTTTCCCTTTCAACTGATATAAAAAAATCTATCAATATTCCTTCCCTTTGCGTCTGACACATTTACTGTACACATTACTTTGTGGGCAAGTTATGAACAATTGTTAAATAATTTGGATCTTCTAATGTTGTCATGGCTTAGAGAGTTTGATGATCACCTATCAAGTGCAGATTCTTTGCTTTAATGGCCTTCGAGATCTACTGTCCTGAAATTTGATCTTGGCTTTTTCCAATGCAGAAATACTAAATATATATTTTAAATATTATTTTTATGTTTAGATACTTTTGTCACTATGTTCATTTATATTGTTATTTTTTGAAACATCATTTACAAAGTCTAATGGTCACATGACTTCAAGTACACAAATTACTGTTCAATATTGGGCTTTTTGGGTTAGTTTTACAATGGTTCCCAGAGCTGTCGTTTCCTGCAATTTTCCTGAGACTTTAAAATCCTTTTGCCTTCCTCTTCGCTAGGACAGCATTAGTGCTTCCCACAGTGAGCCTTGTCAGCTTCAGTCAGAACAGTATGTAGTTTCCAAATAATGCTGTCATTATTAACATGTATTGAGTATCTACTGTGTTCTAGAATATTCTAAAAGCCTTATTCATATTGCATAAGTTTGCCACTCCATATGAGGTAGATGCTCTCATTCAGCCACTTTTTGGAACTAGTGAAACCAAGGCGAAAGGAAGTCACACCATTTAGGTTGCTACAGTCAGGACCTTGGATTTAGAGCTTCCTCCCAACATCACTGTTTTCTCACACCTCGAAGAATGTCCATTTTCATACCATGACTTGTGGCTGGCTTCTGGTAACAGTCATTCTTTCACTATAGGACTGACTAGGAGATGTGTGAGTAATGAGTACTTACTTCTTCCTCTTCTCTTTTAGAATTTGAGCAAGGTCAGTGATCACAGCGAAGTCTGAGGCCCCCTGTGATGAAGTGCACATCTCATCTTTAGCAACTGCCCGGAAGAGGCCAGATATTGGCATTTTGCACAAATTTTGGTGTATGGATGCTGCGTATGGCCTCTATTTCAATAAGAATGATATGAGTCAGCAACTGCACAGCCACTGGCGACGGCTTGCTGACCCCTTATTTTTCTAATCTTTCTTAATAAACAGATTCATTTAGTTGTTTTTTATAGGGATCAATATGCATGTAGGTTTAGCTTACTAAATAGTAAAGATGCTTTTATGAGAGTATTTTGTATGGTCTTATCTCTATTTTGTTGTAAGCTAACAAGTGGAAGAACACTTTAATCGGAAGTGGTTTGGACTATTTATAAGCCGTTCATAAAAAAATAAGGTAATCTAACTCTACGTAAAAAGAAGTTAGCAAATGTGCCATTTTCCCATATTTACCCCAGAGTTATTTAAACATCAGTAAGATAAAGTATCACCATTTCATACAGTGAAGAATGAAATCCACAGAAATGAAGCAACTAGGAAAAAAGATAAACTAGAAGATATTGATATCAATACGGATCAACACAATCACTCTGGCAGTATTCATGGATTCAGTTGTGCTTTTGTATAAGGAAGAAACCTGGCGTTTTAGCAAAACCGAGTCCTTGAAATTCGTCTGCTTAATTGTGAATACCGGAAACCACTAGGATATCCAGTCAGATAGCTCTCATTTCTACATGCCACATGTAAGATTTTCGACTTTCAGCATGATTTTTATTACAGTCAGAGAATATGAGAATTCAGCATCTAATATTTTTTCAGATAGGATCTTTTAGATGACAAAATATCATAAGTAGAATGGTTTTATGCTATTTTGATACAAGGTTAACTTTAGAAATTGTGTATTTTCTATTTTAAAGATAACAAGTCAATAAAATGTAGTAGGTAATTTATCTATACCAAGATAGATAGATGACAGATAGATGACAAACAGACGGATGGCAGATTGATCTCCCTAGTATGTTTCCATTTTCTTTTGTTAGAGGTGAGCTTGGATGTGATTATCTGTAAATTCACCAAAATAACACGATAATTGACAACACTAAGGGCCCGATAGAAGTGTAGACACCATTTCTCAATGCGTGTATATTTCATTTTAAATTACATACAAGTATTCAATTTCACAATTTTCTAACAAATTAACTTTTATATGAAGCCATAGATTACAATTATGCTTTATTCTTAATGGCATTTAAACTATTCTAGAGACTACCATTATCAGAAAAAGCCAGGCATTGCAAAGTGAGTTTGAAAAGCAAGTTAAAAATAGAAATTAAAAATTGGCCATCTGGTGGTTCTCATGGGCATCAGTAAGAGCAAATCCTAACTCCTGTCCCAGTGACGTATTGAAATATTCCTCAACAAGTGTGTGGTACACATTACTATGATCCTTAATTTTAGCACCTCAGTCTTTAGTAAGATGAAATAATAAAATTAAACTGCCAAAAATAGTGTTCCAAATTTTCATAGTCATTTTAATTTTTACTGAAACAAACTAAAAAGAACAGTATTAGTTCCCAAAGGCCCAGGCTCTTCATTGCTAATTTGGTTAGTAACAAGTCAGGTGACTGTTATTCATCATATACGGTTCCAAGGGGAAGTCAAGGGAGAATTAGAAATAGCTTCCTTATTAAAAGGAGTTTTATTCTGTGTCATCCATTTGCATTATTCTAAAGGTTCATGGTGGTGATATTCTCTACCCTCAATCCACTGATCCCTGTCATATAATCATGAGTCACGGAAAGCCAAGAACAGAAATGTATGATGGTACATATAAATTGATATTTGCTATAAAAGTTTAGCCTATAATTGAGTTCATGCATTGTAGGCATATTAAACTTGTTGTAGAAGATGGGCCACGGGTGACATTAAAATCATTACAGCTAATTGATGGATGATTTGTTCTGTTTGTTGTTAATTCTGGGACAGTATTGTCTGAGAAATTGCATTTGAGAGCCTTTAGTATTTATAGTATGTTTAGTGCATAAAAAGTTAACATCATTAATTTCAGTGTCAAATATTAATGTTATATTCAAGGACAAGGCAAACCAAATCACACACTGGGTTAAGTCCACTGATTATTCCAAGACCACGAGGACTGTTTACTCAAAGAAAGTCTCTTAAATTAAGTCCTGTGAGTCCAAGAACTGCGTATAAGTTTTAGACATGCAAGTGTCTGTTTCAGAGAAGAAGCAGAGAACATAGAAACTGCAAGACTACTCCATTGTTGCAGTGTTTCTACCAGCACACTGACCTAGTCTTACAGGACATCTTATTTTTATATGATAAACTTCTTCCGTAGTGCTTATTGTAGTAAAATAGCATTAAAAACCAAAACTGATCTATACAGGTGTTGAGAATCTAATATGGCAGATATGAAATATATAACCAGGAAATGACTGTTAACATTACATTTATGCAAATTAAATGCCCTTAAATTTTGCCATTTGTCTTTCATTTTAAAGGTTATTTGCCCTCAATTATATAATTTCAGCATTATAAAGTTTAGCTTAAACCACTTTGCAATAATTTATTTGACAGATCTCTCATGCAATGTAATGAGGAAAGAGATCTTTCTTTTTTAATGAAAACATTAATGTGTTAATTTCCCATATGAGTCATGCTTGACATTTAATGGTTGCCGAAATATGTTGGTATGTTGCTGAACATACACACACCTCTGAAATGTCAGTTTTGTGTTCTGTTGGTTGATCTGATCCAGCACCAAATATGCTTTATGGCAGTCAGTTTGTTGCCAGATAGATTTCAAATAGGGAGTTAAGTGGTGCTTTCTCAATCCAAAGATCTGGAGTTAAAAATCATGTAGTCTAATATGCTGCACTTATTTTTATATTTTTTCCATGCAATTAATTATTGTTTTTTATAATTATGTGTACTAACTCAGTATGTAACAACCAGTTTACATGGAAATAAATTGAAATATGATAAGTACAATTTTTTTGTGTGTTTGTGTCCATTACTTCAGAGTGTTCACTCCCCTGCAAAGCAAATAGTACATACTGCTTTCTTGCCCTGACCACTGAATAGTATGTGTTGAAAATTCTTGGAAGTGTTCACTATTCCTAGTAATTTGTTCTTACAAAATTTCAGCCTGGGTCTGTAAATTTCAAGTCCTTGATTTATACACTACTGAAAGGATTATGTTTTTTTTTTCTGTTTTTGTTTCTTTCTCTCTCTTTTTTTTTTGCTAGCACTGCAATTGCATAACATTCTTTTGCCAGGCTTATATTCTTTTTTGTTCTAATTTTAATCAATATCTTTTTATTTTTATTTTTTATTTTCTGCTTGTGTTCTTTGCTATGTGCTTTTGTCTTTCCTGGGTTCTGAGGCTGAGTTCAACTTTAATGGTAACTGTTCAAAAATAAGAAAATAAAGCATGTTTTCTTAAGCCCTGGAGACACAGTAGAGAATAAAACAGAAAAACAAGCAAACAAAACACCCCTGCCCTCCCAGTGCTGCGTTCCAACCAGGGACTTCAGAAAAGAAGTAGGGTGTGTTGAAAACATGCCTATTGTGAGCTGGATGACAATGTGCCAAGAACACGATAAAGAATGTGAGTTAAATATACATCGTGAGGTTAGACAGTCTCCCGAGATGGATGGCAACACAAATGGGACTGATGATGACGTCAGCGTGGACGACTGTGGCAAACACCAGCCTGGCAGGCTTAAACACCACATATCCGTCCTCACAGTGCCTGCCACGGGGCATCCAGGATGGCGGTAGCTAACACGGTTTCTGGTAAGGGCTCTCTTCTGTTGTAGATTGTACCTTCTCACTGTTGGGGGAGAGCAGAAAGAGAGAGCCCTCAGCATTTCTTCTTATAAGGACCCACCCTCATGACACCAAGTTTAACTTTAATTACATCCTTATAGACATTGTTTCCAAATAGAATTCAATCCATAGCTGCCTTCTCTCAACATTGGTATCTCCTACATTTGTGTCTTCCTTAAATTAAAAAAAAATATTAAAACTTTACAGCCCCAGAAGTCTTACCTCTCTCTAGCACTAATTCTGACAGCCAGTCTTAACTAAATATTATCTTAATCGTATGTGGCTGAGAATTAGAAGTGTGATTTATTTTTACACAAAATTTCTCTCCAGCCATGAACCTATGCAAAACGCAAGCTATATACTCCCAAAATACAGTAAAAGGACAGTCTGAGGAAGGAAGATTTCATCCAGAGAACAGAAATGAAAGAAGGGAAGGATAGGCACCAAAGGGGGAAAGAAAAAACAGCATGTCAAGCTCACTAGAGTCAGGTTCATATTTTTTTCAGTATTTATTTATTTATTTATTTATTTATTTATTTATTTATTTATTTATTTATTTATTTATGTGTGCATGTGTAATGTTCAAGTGTGTATGAGTACAGGTGTGTGTGTGTGTGCGTGCGTGGAGAGGGGGAACCAAGTGAGAGACTGGGAAAGACATCTAGAGACTCTTGGGAGTTGGTTCTTTCCTTCTACCAGGTGGGTTCCAGGGACTGAATTTAAGGTTGTTGGGCTTGGCAGAAGGACCTTGATCCACCAAACCATTTTCCCATCCCATATCCATTAAATCTTAAATATTGAAAGCTATCCTCTTTAGTCTGTTGATTCTTCACATTCTGGACCCCCTAAAGTGATAGTCTTGCTTCCAAATCTCCAGACTTGCTCCCAAATCCTGTGGCTCTGCAAACTATCAAAACATGGGAAGTCTCACACAGCTCCCATTGAACCATCTCTATCTCTTTCAGTTCATACTGACAGTGTGGTTGTTGGTGTGACTCAGTTTCTACTCCTGCTGAGGTGGCTGATTGACTTCATAATGAAATAGCCAGCTGGAACCATTTTATGTCTCCATCAGGAGTACAACGAGGGGAATGCTTTATTTTCAGTTCAGGATCCACAACTTTTAAACAGAATGAAGCACATTAAAATTGATTGCCACTTGGGACTTACGTGAAACAGGTTTGAACTTGTGGTAGCAGCAGCTTGCTAGCCAAGAGCCACTATAGCTCTGAGAAGTGTTACAGCTCAAAAGCAGAGGACTTGGGACCACTCAGACTGGAGTTTGTAGGTCATTAACAGGAAAACTGGAGCTTCATGTCTCAGAAGCAGTGGGTCTTAGAGGCTAGAAGAAGCTGTGGGGACAAATTCCCTTCTGCAGTATGACTTCCCTTCTTCAAGGGAAGGATTTTTGTTGGGTGAGGCAGGCAGGCAGGAGTCCATCTTCCTGCAGCTGCTAATGGGGTCCAGGGGATCTGTCTGGGCCAAGCTCCCAACCCAGGGCAGAAACTTCAAGTGCTTGGGATTGGGTGAATGTTGGAATGTAAATAAGGTGAAAATAGTGCCAGCCAGTGACTGGCTATAAAAGCTAGGTGTAGCAGGAAAAACACAACTACCAAAAATTGCCCTGGGCCAGTGGGGAAAAATCAATCCCCCCTTGGTGGAACCTCCAGATGATAGGTCTTAGGGCTCCTGAAGGCCTCTCCGCTGATGCAGCAAACTGAATCAGACACAATTGCAAAGTCCAGGTTTAATGGGTAAAGAGCTCCCAGGCGATTCCCCAGCCCCGCAGAGAGGAGATGGGGACAAGAGACAGAAAGAAACATGTGTCTGTTTTCAGGGATGCTGCTTATATCCCCTGTGGGAGTGGTCTTGAGCCTCTCTGGGGGAGGAGCTGTATTTGGTGGGCTTTGAAGGGGCGCATTTAGGGAAAGAGATGGAGAGGGAGTTGAGGTGGATCTTCCACCAGACTCCTTCCAAACATTCCAGACTCTTTGGGTATAGGGATGCCAGGGGTGCCAGGGTGCCAGGGGTTGAGGTGGAGTTCCCACCTAAACATTCCAAACTCTTTGGGTAATAGGGACACCTGTTCAAGTCTGACTACTTCCTGTGGGCATGGGACTGTGTGGGGAAGAGGAGTCAGGAACTGGTGAGCTCACATTCAGCAGGAGGTGTGAATGGAGGAGCATCTGGTTAATTGTCATCCTGGAGACCTCAGGCATCTGTTTCTTGAGGAAGCAAAGAAAGCAAGATTCTAAGAAAAAAATAGATCATTAACATCTGCCCTAGTTGTACTGTAAAGATGAATGTACAGAGCAGAAGAGCAGATAGGCCCTTTAGCAGGACATCTGGAGGATGGAGGGTCCCAGCTGCTGGACAGACATGTATCCTGAATAGGTGCTCATTTGAATCTAGAGTGATGATACCAGCATGGATGTCCCAGGAGCTTGGCAGCTGAGGGGGTGGTGAGGATCACAGTATGAAGAGAGAAAGGACCTCAGAAGAGAGAGGTAGGGGAGGTACCTGGCCAGTTAGGGAGTTTGGGCTGGGAGGTGGTGATTGAGGAGGAAGAGCCTTCCTTAAAGAAGCTCAAAAGGGCTCAAACTGTAGGAGAGTGTGGGGTGGCCTGGAGGCAGGTAAGGGCAATGGGGAGAAGGGAGGGCCAAGATAATCTGAGTTCAATGGAGAGCTTGGTGAGCTGTAGTTTGATGAGTCCATTGTCCTTCTCAACCTTTCCTGAAGATAAAGGTGTCAACCACAGTCAGGAGGTAACAGAGTTCCTTAGGTGTGGGCATGTGAGTGAAGTCCACCTGCCAATCCTCGCTTGGCTTGTGTCCTCGAAGCTGGGGCAGAGGCTGACATATCTGGCAGCCTCTGCCCCAGAATGACCCACTGCTCCCAGCCAGATTGGGTCTCAGGAGAGGCCTTGATGGGGGCCAAGGTAAGTGTGGCTCCAAAAAGGCTGAGAACATTGCGACCAAGCAGAGGTGCAGGTCAGGCAGGTATGACCAGAAAAAGAGTGTGAGAAGAATCGCCCTGTAAGAACGCAGGGAAGTGTCAGGGTCTTAAATGGGAAGGAAGGGATCCCATACACCCCTGTGACAGAAATTGGCGAAGGAACTGTAGGACCTGAGTGAAATGTCAAAACAGAAGAGGTAGTTCCCGTGCCCAAAAGAAAGTCAATGGACTTACCCGTTACCTGCAGCGTTACCCTAGGTTCAGAAAGGGCAATGGGAGTCAGCCGGCCTAGGCCATGTCAGTTCTCTGCCAGGCTTAGGAGTTCTCAGTTGCTGGAGCTGGTGAGGCTGGACCTCCATGGCATGGCATAGAGGACGAGCCTGGATGGGGGCATTCCAATTTCCAGTGCCCAGGCTGTAGGCAGACAAGACATGGCCTCCTGGGCGGCTGGGGGTCAGGGCAATACTGTGGTCAGTGGTCCTGATTGCCATATTTGAAGCAAGTTTTTGGCGGAGTTGACTTGAGCTGAGCTCTGGTGGGATGGAGCCTCGTGGCCGACTTCCCTTGTACCCCTTGTGGGGGTCCTGGTGGCCTCAGAGCAGCTTCTAAGACTTGGGCTTGGAGTGTATTCTGTTGCAGCCTTGTCTGTCAGGTTGACTCGGTTGTCATTCTCAAACATTAAAAACTTTAAAAGCCATTTTCACCAATTCCTGTAGGGGAGTTTGGAGATCCTCCTCAGCCTTTTAATTTTTTTTTCTAATATCTGGCACTGACTGAGAAACGAAATGGGTGGGAGGCAGCAGTACGGTGAGACCGAGTATGAGAAACCAGGGAAGATTTGGGGGCGTTAGGCCAGTGTGTGGGCTGAGGCATTGGGAGATAGGAGGAAGCAGTGGGGGGAGGGGAGGCTAGGAAGGAAGGTAAGGAGGAGGAATTTGGTCTTAGATTTGTCACTCCAGAGGAGGGGGTTGGGTAGGTAGAGTTTGGGGGAAGTGGGGGAGGGTTCAGTGTCTCCAGTAGTGAATGGACTGGTGCTGTGAGACATTGGCCCCTGTATGGAGTTTGGGAACACCGAACCCAAAATCCGTGGATGTAAGGCAGTTCTGTTCAATTATATCAGATAGGCCCAATTTGAATAGATTTTGTAAAAGACCCCACAGGGGCGTTTGGGGATCAGGCTCTGGATGGCCAGTACTGTAGCTGGA